ATACGGTTTAATGTGAAGTCAACAACAACAACAACAACAATATCGAAATGACACAAGTCGAGGTTCAACTCGGACGCCAAAGCAGCCAACATCCTAACACATGAAACAGAAACGGTAGGTGCGTACAGCTCTCCACAGTACTCTCTGCATGTCACCTCTCGCTGCAAGTCTCGACGTAACCTTAGTGGGCCATCCAAACTCATCTGCCTTCCAATCGAATACCCACTTAGCGTTAGTTGCGTTCTCCACTAATTGCTACTTCGCCAGAGTAAAAGTCCCCNCAATATCGAAATGACACAAGTCGAGGTTCAACTCGGACGCCAAAGCAGCCAACATCCTAACACATGAAACAGAAACGGTAGGTGCGTACAGCTCTCCACAGTACTCTCTGCATGTCACCTCTCGCTGCAAGTCTCGACGTAACCTTAGTGGGCCATCCAAACTCATCTGCCTTCCAATCGAATACCCACTTAGCGTTAGTTGCGTTCTCCACTAATTGCTACTTCGCCAGAGTAAAAGTCCCCGCTTCCAACAAGCCATAAAATTCCCTTTGCATAGAGTCGCTCCAAAGGTGCCGGTGCTCCGACCCCATGGCCTCTTTGTAGCTCTTGGGGACACGAAGGTCGCTGGCCTGGCAGTGAGGAAGGCCAGGGCGTTACTCCGGCGGGCGCTGGTCTCGCAGCGTGGCGTCGATGTCTTCCCGGTTGGCGAAGAGCGTGACAAATGCGAGTAGAAAGCCCGCTACTCCAGTCCCCAGGTCCACAGCCGCGAGTGCTCCCGCTTGCCCTCCGGTCCCCGCTCCTCCCTGATCTCCGGCCTCCGCCCCCCCAGCTCCCTGCGCTCCTCGTCCACCGCGCTCCCAGCCTCCAACATCGACACCAGAGTATTCTTGTCTAGCATCGATGAGTCCTGTGCTGTGCCTTGTGCCTGATCTCGTACGGCTTGGCAGCCGCGGGGCTGTCATACCCTCGGCCTTTGTACCCGGGCGAAGCTGCCGCATGGCGTGAGCCGTAAGCGGGGGCATCGCGGGGTCCGGCGGCGGCGGCGGCTGGTCAGGATCTGGGGTCGCCGACGGTGACAGCGAAGAGGCAGAGG